TTTTTGGTGAAACTGGGGATTGAACTCAGGCCCTTGCACTTGCCAGGCAAGTGCTTCATCCACTGAGCCATCTCCCCGGCCCCTATATTATACATTTTAAAAATACTTGTTTTAGCAACTAATATTATTTATGGAAAGAAAAACATCAGGGAAACATAAGTACTTTAAGCTATTTTTTGTTTTTAAAAAAAAAAACCCTGAAATGCTATTATGTTTGAAACATAGAAATCCCTGTATGCCGGCACAGACCTCGATTCCAGGACTCTGGGAGGCAGAGACAGAAAGATCACAAGTTTCAGCCCAGCTTGAACAACCAATGAGGCCATGTCTTAAAAAATAGAAAAGGGCTGAGGATACAGCTCAGTGTGAACTCTTTGGGTTCAATCCCCAGCCCTACAAAAAAGGAGAAGGAGGAGAGAAGAGGAGGAGGAAAAAGGAAATATAGAAAACAATAGACATTGTATCTTAACTTTTTAATAAAGTTAAAGACGACATTGTTTAGCTAATAACAGGGGAAATGTATAATAACAATTTTAATAACTTTTCTTTAACCAATTTAAATTAACTCATTTGTTAAAGATTTGCTTAAATCACATGCACAGAAGACATTTGAACTAATTAGAAGCTTACCTACTTATTATAAGCCAACTTAAGCAACTTTTGGGAGGATTTTATCCTTTAGAAATAGGTACCTGAAAGTAACACATACAAACACAAGCATTAACCAAAACCATGCAATTTCATGGTATTAAAATTTAAACTTTCTATTGGCAAGTTTTATGTAAACCTTAAGCCTAGCAGTCTCCGTGGCAGCAAGTAGATTTTTAAGGATGCCTTCTTCAACATTCCAAGTGAGTTTGGTAACCCTCGACTATGTGTACAACCAGTGTTAGAGTCAAAGGCCAAACACAGCCAGAGAGGTGTGAGCGCAATAAATAAACAGAAAAAGAAAAGAATATGATGGGGCTGGTGAGATGGCTCAGTGGTCTAGAGCACCTACTTAGAACAAGCTTAACAAAGCACAGGGACCGCGGTTCAATCCCCCAGCACCACATGCCAGCCAGCCCTGCCCCCTGGTGGGCTGAGCTGCCCGCCACACACACATAAACAAATAAAATAAAATAAAATAAAAAAAAGAAAAGAATATGTGCACAAAATGTAGATAAAACAGAGCAGCTGCAGGAATTTCAGCCAATTATTATAAATAGGCTAGCAGGTGTACAGCCAGGAAAAAAAAACACATATTGGTATTATGCTGTAAGACACACAAAAAATTACTTTAGATCAGGGTGTACATTTTTTTTTTTTTTTTTTTTTTTTTTTTTTTTGCGGAACTGGGGATTGAACTGAGGCCCTTGTGCTTGCCAGGCAAGCACTTATTCTACTGAGCCATCTCCCCAGCTCCTGCACTTTTAGATTTATTATCCAGATTGGATTGCAATAATTTACTTTGGTTTAGGCTTATAACTAAAATAGATTAGTCAGAGTGTCCCCAAAGAGGCATTTTAGTTTTTATGTAGATCATAACAGGGATTTTTGGAGGTAATATTCTGGTTCCACTAACACCATAAAGTCAAACCGGGTCAGAAAGGGGAAAGAGCAAGAAGAGTTGCAGATTGCTGGGTTGGGATTTTGTCCACTTTTTGTTCTTCTTATAAAACCAAATTTTTGGGCCAGCCAGATAGCTCAGCGAACTAAAGTGCCTGCTTAGGCAGAGCACAACATTGAGATGGTGATTGAGACTGAGCGTGGTGTCACGCGCTTGTAATCCCAGCTCTTGGGAGGCTGTAAACAGGCAAATCACTACAAGTCTGATCTAGTAGTGAGACACTGAACACCCTTAGACCCTTCCCTAAAATTAAAAAAAAAAAATCTGTTTTCAAAAGTGTAAAAGACAGAGACCTTAGAAAAATATGCACAGCTTAAAAGATTATGGATAGCTTGACATCTACCCCCAAAATGTTACCCTTAATACATACATATATATTGGGACTGTTTTAGAACAGAGAAGTAAGAAAAGTTAGTTTTTTCTCTACACATGAGTTAAGGAGTGAAGAGACAGGGCCAAAACTTTGGCTTTATTTTATTTATTTGTTTATTTATTTTTGTATTTAGTACAGGGTCTCACTACATAGATCAGACTCATAGTGATCCGTTGTGTTCAGTTTCCCAAAAGCTAGGATTGCAGGCGTGCGCCACCAGACCCCGCCTCAGTTGCAGTCTCAGCGTGCCCTGGGGGCAGGGCCAGCATTGCACACGGCTCAAGCCCACAGGCCCTGCAAATCAGATTTTTTAAAAACAAAAGATGGTGACCAGGAGAGATATCTGGGAGATTTAAGCACCTGCCTGCCAAGTACAAGGTCCTGAGTTCGATCCCTGGTACAAGACAAAACAAAATGGGATCCTTTAGATTTTTTTTTGTGGGGGGGAATATATGTGTGTTGAAGTGAACATGTTTTTAGATTTTTCATCCAGGTTCCAGCCATGTGTTTGCTCTCCAAATGGACATCACTAGTCATTTTTTTTTAGGTCTCATAACATTAATCAGTCCCAATTTTCTGTCATGATTAGAGCTCAAATGTCCCTGTTGATGATAAACAAATCTCTTCACCTACACACATCCCCAGAGCTCCACAGAGTATGCAAACTTGTTCATTTCTTCTACATAAATCAGAAGGCTAGAAAATGTTCATATACAAGGGTTCAGTTTTACTGAAAAAGTCACCCCCAAGATCTTTCCACTTGGGGACTTGAAACTTAAGTAAAGACCTTATGCAGAGTTTTAAAAGCTGGAGATGTTGGGGCTGGTGAGATGGCTCAGTGGTCTAAAGCACCTACTTGGAACAGGCTTGGCAGAGCACAGGGACACTTATAACAATTTCATCTAGTAACATTTGTGGGGTGGGGACCAATAAAATGCTGGGGAAAACCAGAGGGGGCACCCATCAGCAGAGAACTTGAAGCAAATGGGTTCAGGCAGCTAGCTACTTTCTCAGCCATTGAAGGGTAATTTTATCCAGGTGTTCCTCAGGCTCTAGGACCCCATCTAGGGAAAAAAGTTGTATGTGTATATTTTATATAGGAAATTTTAAAATACAAGATTACATATGAAAATTTTAACTTTCAGTAATCTCTACAAAGTAATTAACTATTCTTTTTACATATTAGTAATTTATAAAGCACAATTAATAGATCTAAATATTTTGTCATTTTATGAATCTCAAGGATCCAAGAATATTTGAACTTCCATTTAGCAACTGATAACTCAGATGTTTTACTATTAGAAGCTTTATATTATACTTTTTTTTTTTTTTTTT